GTATGCAGATTTGTACGTTACAATGCCGAAATAAGTGAGCTTATCTAAGAATAGTTTTATTTGTGTAAGACATTAGTACCATTCTATGTCTGGTCATAAGTTGACAATCGACCCTTTTAACGACTAAAGTTGCAAAATCCCAAGACTCCTATTAGGCAGAAAAAGGCGTTAAATTGTATCTAGAGGAGGGTTTAAGCCTAAAGCATGGCAAACACTAAATTAGTGACCAAAAGTTTGGGAATACAAATAAAGTAGTTGTTAGGTATTGGTGCTTAAAGCAAATACCAATGGAAAGTAAATCCTTTCAACGTTTTGCTAGAGATGGTAAACATTATCTTTCCAGCTGCAGGGCGAAAAAAGGCGATTTCTACACTTCGGCATAATTTAAAAATTGGTAATTCGGTTGGGGAGATGACAATCCAACGTGAACTACATACCTGAGGATCATAATGATCCTTCAGCAGATAAACGCTAGACCACCGTCTTAACAATACACAGACCCCTTTGCCCTCTGTAAAAGATACCTAATTAAACCGCTTAAAATACTAAAGCCCTAAACTCGGAGATTCAGATACTGAGGGTTAGCTGAAAGGCACTTCAGTCACTCATCCAGATATTTCCCATATCCTAAGTCGACTATGGCATTAAGAATTTAGTAAGGTTATGCTTTTGCAGCGTTCCATAACTTCGCACAGGCTAGAAGAGGGCAGACGTCAAGTAGCCACACAAACAATGCAGTGCGCCTTATACAAAAAGGGAAAAATAGGGACAAGCAAGTGCAAGAGCCCATTAATGCAAATTAATGCATTTTAAAGGCTTGCGGATTGGTTCAATGACATTCGAGTACGCTTCTGTATCTCAGAGTCTTCCCTTTCCACTGTGTTAAAATTGCCACCTAATCTACAACAAAATGCAGTGGCAGACAGCAAAACAAGAAACCTAAGATCTAAATTTAAGGCCGTTTACTTCATTCAATTTTAAACCTTATGAAATTCAAGTCTTGCTTAAAAAACCTATTATTCTCTCAGTTAGGTATCGTATTCTGAACGCACAAACCCTTTTGTTGTTTATATGTATAGAAGTCTTTTAATAGTGGCCGAGTAGTAGTGCGCGTATTTCGCTATCGTCGTTATTGGGGTGGGGATGTTTCGCTGTAGTTACGACGGTTGTTCGGATGATTCATCGTCCGGGGAGTATGTATTTTATTTTCTTATTTTCAGAGATTCGTATCCTGAAGTTGACACAGAATGTGCAGACGCATTCGAAAAGAAGATGATGCTGGAGTTGCAGGCTGATGTTTCTTCTTATTCGAGTCAATATCGTAGTCCAGACAAAACTGGCGCAGGTACTGAGTTTCTTTCCCCACTGCTGTTGTCATTTGTTAGCGTCAATATCTGTGATAAATTAATCTTCGATCTTCCTCAACTACTTTCACAGATGCGGACGATAAATCATCTGAAAAAGTCGATCTATTTTATGACTCAGATGAAGATAAAATAAATGCGGAATTCACGAAACACTTGCAGAAAGTCAGTCAAGGTGGTGATCTTGGTGATGGCAAGACGGATGCAATTCTTAATTGTCCAGGTTGTATGAGTCTGCTCTGTTTAAATTGTCAAAGGTTAGCACTTTGCTCCCAATGGAGCCTGTTTGATGTTCTTTTCATGCTTGCACACATCCCCTCATGCGATATGTTTTGTGATATAGACACTCGAAATACAAGACACAGTACAGGACTATGTTTACTTTCAATTGCAAAGTCGCGGAAGACGAAGTCATTTGTCCCCCACTAAACGACCAGAACGCCAATGCGGGTGAGGATTCGAGTGATAGAAGTGTTTATAAACGGGTTTTGTGCGAGATCTGTGATACCCCTGTTGGTCTGCTGGATTCTGAAGGTGTTTACCATCTCTTTGGTGTGTTGGCAAGCCATAGCTAGGGATCACGTTCGAGTTTTCTGTAATAGGGTGTATATACTTTTAGAAAATTATTTTATGTTGATTTGTTTGCCTTTTATTATGTACGCACATTGTAACGGTGGTCGCACTGTTGAATGTTCGCACTGTTTTATCTAGCAAGCACAAGTGGATTTAGGTTTTACAGTA